TTAAGGAATATAAATTATTGGATCAACAACTTAATAAGGCTTATTTGGTTGTTTTGTATTGATAACTTAAGTAACTTTGTAAATACATACTACGTAATATACTTTGGTTAACGCTAACACAAGTTCCTTTTCGTTTTTCGACCGACACCGAAAGCTACATGCACTATCTTGTACAAAAACATTGACGAAAAACTCTTTGTTTTTCTAGAAATGATTACTTCTTGGGGAGACAAAGTAATCGGGGAGAATTGGTGATACTTCCGGGAGTTCGTTGAAACGGCCAATCATCATGAAGTAGAGTTGCATCCTGGGTGACAAAAACAATAACACTTAAAAGACGTGAAGCGTTTCTTAAGCGCTAGGGAGTGTACTTTGAACCACTATAAAATCTTTGATGTCGTTTACTTAGTTGTTTTTACTTTCCCGTATTTATGCTAATCTTTTGCACAACAAGTATGGACTTTCCAGGCACACCCGAATCCCGATCAGACTAATTACCATTCCATTGTAAGGCCAAATTTGCCTAGATTTGTTCCAACTATGTGAGATGGATATATTATGGATGTTTTTACTTGACTGTTTTTAGTCTCAGACCATACTAGACTAGACTTAAACAGATCAAATCAGACCAGATTTAAATAGACCAGATCGGACTTCCGTAGTTATAAAATAAACAGAGACCAGACATTTACTAGACCAGACCAGACCAATCCAAGTTTAAATAGACCAGACCAGACCAGACCATCAAATTATAATCCAAGTAAAAACATATGTCTCACAAGAAAAGAGAATCCAAAAACAATCTATTCACCTCTATCTAGGTTGTTTCTCTGTTGATTAAATAGGACCAACATATCTCTCTCATGTCACGTTTTAGAAGAGACGAATGGCAACAACTTTTCATAGAGAGAATTTTTCTTCCATTTTATCAGAACAATTTAATCTTTTCCAAATGAATTTGCCAAACTTCTTCACTAATATTTTATCATCTAGGGGTCATAGAGAATTAAGAACTCTAATGTGTTTCAATTCAAACAAATGGAATGGTGTTAATGCAAATTCTCTAGTTTCCAACAAAAATCAAATTTGGGAGGAAAATGTGCAACGTACGTTTTTTTGTCGTAGATGTTCTAATAGGAGGGATGGTATATATGTCTTGGGGGTGTTTGGAACTGATTCTGATTCAACTTCTTTTTTAAAGTAGAATCAAAATCAGTTTTCAGAAGTTGGACTCCCTCAACTTTTAAAAAACTGCTTCTAGAAATAAATTAAACCATCAGAAGTACTTCTGCACTTTCATCCAAACACTCCAACTTCTAGTTCTACTCTTTCGGAGGCAGTTTTAAGAATGGGATCCAAAAACACCACATTACTTTGTGTTTATCTCGGAAATTTTATTTATTTTGAGGTTGAAGAAGTGTTTTACAAGGAAATAATTTGTTGGTACAGGTAGGATAATTGAGAATATTGTATAGGGTGACGTGCACCGCAATACCATTTTCGTGTCTCAATTTTCAAGAGAAGATTGGCAGGGCACTTCACGACGACTCTAATGAACTGCAGATTCACATCATTTACATTTGTAGTTTGTAGTACAAATGTAGCACAAAGTTAGTACAAGGTTTGTACTACATCTAATACACTAATAGTACATCCATCTAAAAAATCATTGCGGTTTCATAAAATTTGTACCATTATTTTAATTAGTAAAATTTTAAGAAAATTATAAATTTTATACTTCTATAAAATTACTTTTAATAAAGAATTTTTTTATATAATTTTTATATTATAAATATTTTATAGTAATTAAGAATATATAGTTAGTCAAAGTTTTAGATACGACAGAGTTTTTTGGAACGATGAAGATAGTATTTGAGTTTTTTTAAACGGAAACTTTATCAAAAGGGGAAAGCGTATCAAAATTTTAAATGCATCTAAAAAAATGTAGCAAACTTTAAAATATGAAGGGAGTAGGACGTATAATTTAAAATATTTCAAACTTTAAAAGGGCGTAATATTGTGATTTGAGGAGATGTTGTGTTCATCTTATTCATATTGTATATTCTTACTTTATTCAAATTAGATCAGATCAAAAAAATTAAGATCAAATTAGATCAAAAAATTCAGACCATATCTAATTAGATCAATGTATTGCGGGTGTTACTTCTATTTAGGTGAAGTGGAACTGTTTTATGGCTGGTTTTGAGTCGAAGGTAGGGACAAACCGAAACATTAACTAGGAATTTAGGCTCGAGTTACCGTCTTTTATTTACCTCTGAAAAGAAAAAATACTCATTGATTGATTCTGGTCCTGGAACTGAAACTAAGGTTATTAATGTTAACGAGTCGAGCCGAGCCCGAACACCCAATGTTCGAGTTTGGCTGGTTTTAGTAATAGTGGTGTTCACGTTAGAGCTCGAAGATCGACGAGTTTTACAACCGAAGCTCGAGTTCGGCTCAATAGGTGTTCGATGTTTGAACTGAGCTCGATAAGCCCGATAAATATGTTTGAATGTAGAAATTTAACTTACGTTCATTAACAAATTCGTGCTCGAATTATTCAACGAGTTTTCGATTCGTTGGTAATCATTTTTATATTTATAGAACCCCACAAAAATGTTTAGATTTTAGCACATGTAACTTATCCCTAGAATTTCAATCTCGACTCGAATAAGTATTCAAGTTTAAAATTTGGCTCGTACTGTAGTTCAAAGATCGTTAAGATCAACTTGTTAGGTTCAAAAATACACTTAATATCCAGCAGACCATAATGGACTTGACAAAACATTTCTAACCAGACTAGTTCAAATTAGATAATATCATGAGAAAAGGATCAAATAAGGTCTTCTACTATTATGAAATCACCACATAAGGCTATGTACTCAATAAAGTGTCATATAAATGTGTCTACTTGTAAAAAACAATCAAATAAGCCCTAACGATCTGTTTACAACCTCCTAATCCCGATTTTAGTGTTCTTGAAACCATCTTTTTATATTAGATCATACAGCACACGTCGAATATTTACCTAAGATTGGTTCAAGTACGAGTCAAATAAATTGACGCGTAAGCTAAAATCAAGATTAAGTTGTCGTCAACGGGTAATTAGGACTCATCTGATTGTTTTTTTATAAGTAGACGTATTTATATGACACTTTATTGAGTACATGACCTTATGTGACGATTTCATAATAGTAGAAGGCGTCCTTTTCTATCATTGTATAGATAGTGCCATAAAATTTTTAGCCCACATGAAAACATCTTTATTTGTAAAAATGTGTGGCATGTTTTTGAAATTATGAGCGTAAATAATGTGTGGCATATTCAAATCAGCACAGGGGCGTAGCCAGGACACTGGGCTAGACTGGGCCGGTACAAAGAATATTATTGAAAAAAAATTTACACGAAATTTTTTTACACTAAAAATATTGACATTTTTCAAAATTGGGGTGGGCCAGGGCCTAGCCTGGGCACCCCCTAGCTCCGCCCCTGAATCAGCATGTTGTTCATCTCATGTATGAAGTCAACGATGGCACGCTCCCATGTTGAACCACCTCCATGAGGTGGATGACTTGCGTGCGATTGAAAGTTGCATTTGATTTTCATCAAATGAATGAGAACAAGATTGAAATAAGCGTCGATCATGTTAAGTCAAGGAGGCTAGATATAAAGAATTAGTGGATTATTTCCGTTATTTTGTTGTGGCACTTTTAGTATGTGATTTTTCCTGTTGTTACGTTTTATTAGAGCACAAATGCTATGCTTATTTCAATTTGTACCCCAATTTGTACACACCTAGTTTCCTGTGTACACATGCAATTCGTTTGAAAAAAAGCAGAATTTTCTGTCAAAATGCCTATGTACACAAACAGTGTACACTTTGTGTACAAATTTGGGATACACCAAGCATTCTTTTTATTAGAGACTATGTTGTTAGATGAGTTGAGATGAGTATCAATTCTATCTACTAGTTTTGATGTTACTAGAGGTATGGAGATCTATAAGATCAATGATTCAGGATAGTTGTTTTATGCCCCTTTGATTATTAGTCATTGACGTTTCTCTTTAAGGATGACCGATTCTATTTCTAATAGTAAAAAAAATCTATTTCTAATTGTAAAATCATTAGTGGTAGATGAAAGAGAATTATGGTCACTATTAATTTTGTCGAGTATGATGTAATGATATTAATATAGATGATTTGTACTAAAAAACTTTTCTTGTGCGGAGTATTTTAGTTTTATTTTGAGTGATTTCGATTATTTTTTTTCGAGCAAGTCTCAAACCTTTAGGAATAAAAGAAATTCCACTTATGGTTCTTCTAGTTTTGCACGAATTTCACAATTAGTTTTCGTCTTTCACTTTATCCATTTTTGGTACTTGACTATTGTTTTCTTGACCATATATTTAGTCCTTTTCCGGTAGTAAAAATGCCCAGAGATGGATAAAAAATGGTCATGAAACAATAGTCAGGTACCAAAAATAGATAAAATAAAAGACGAGGACTAAATATGGAAATGACATAAAACTCAGACGACCTAAAGTGAAATTGATTCCTCAGAGCATCCACATTGATGATCTTCAACTTTACGGTTTTTAATGGCTTATTATTGTCATGTCACCTCCACATAAGATAATCTCAAATAATCTTCAAACCAATAAATTTCTCCTCATTCATGATCTTAATTTACATTGGATATGAGCATGAATATGCACGAACTACGAAGGTAGTCATCACCATAATTATGAATATATGCTTAGAAGTTGGAAATAATATCAAAATAATCCAGCTTTAGAATTTGATATCAGATTATTTTATTAAATAATCTCATAAAATAATCTCATAAAATAATCTCAAATCTTCATACATGGTCCCTAAAAAAACTTTCCACATCATCAAAATCAAAATGATCCCAAAAATTATTATGGACGGGGATGCCTTAGGAATATTTATTCTCCTCATTCAGACTATAAATGCCAGGAAGCTCGACGCGTACTACCACAAACCTTTATCTCTTCCGACTTTTCCCACATAGAAAGGAAAATCTCTGCACTTCTTAATTTTCTCAGTTTCTCTGAATCAAATTCATCACCATGACTCAGGTACTCGATTCTATTCTAAAATTTAGCAGATGTGACTATTTACGGGGTACTTGATCTTCTTCTGGTGAAAAAAGATTAGATTTATAGTTTTGAAGTTAATAGTTTTCATCCTTATGCAGAAACTTGAACAAGGGCAATCGTATTTACCAAAATTTCTGTTTTTTTTAACATGAATTATATCAAATAGTGCATAAAATTGCAGAATTGGAGTGTCTTCAGAGTTCAAACCGTGCGCTCACGAAATTTTATTTCTTGTGATTATAGTCCGGTCGGTGTTGGGCGATGGGGTGTCATCCTTTTTTTTTTAAAGAAATTTTATTTCTTATTATTTGTCGTGATCCGGAGAGTAGAGAGGTTTTTACTTTTTACTTGTACTAAATTGGTTGTTTCCTTCTTGATGTTTCAGATGCCTCAATAAAACTAAACTATTCAAAATTGAGAATCAAATCCTATAAAGGCTAACCTCTCAATGGGACTATGAATTCGAAGTTTTTTTTTATTGAATTAAGTATGGTTTTAAAGTTAGTCATTCAATTTTAATTTTTGTGGACCTTATGGAGTTCTATGATCCCATACTCCTTAGGAAAACAACTTTGCCTTGAGATTTTTCATAAAACACTAGAGAGGTGCAAGAATTTAAAGTTTTTTATTTATTTTTGTAATACAAACTCTAGAGGCTCTTTGATCTCATAAATTCTTTTCATTGACTTTGAACATAGGAATATATATAGTTATTTATATCTTAAAAAAGAATGGAGTATGGAAATCCCTTAACAAAAAGGCTGTTTATGTTCCATGTGTTTTGGAGCCTGGATAAACTTTCACAGATTCAGTATAAAGTGACTGCAGATTTGTTGGGCATGTTGCCTAAATATTTTATTAAGTGATCTTCATGTAGTGGTGTAGTTTAAAACATGAAGTTACACCCAAATCCACTTGAGACTAAATCTTTGTCCGTGATGGCAGACGGTTAATCTCAAGGTTACCATGTCATGTGGAGGCTGTGTTGGGGCTGTCAAAAGGGTTTTGAGTAAAATGGAAGGTACATGCCCCATGGTTTCTACTTTTCTTCATTAGTACTCTGCTATATTGTTTTTTATAGATAAAACACTTTCATTCTTGGTGGCATATAGACTGTGATCTATCTTATTGTTGCTACTGCTACTCGGTTAACCCGTGAACTGCAAAGGTGGTTGTATTAAGATTATTACTTTCACTTCTAAGTCTATGTTCCTTCTACATTATTACGGAGTAGTATATTGCAGATCTATGCTAGATGTGATATGATATATACTTATATGAACTCCATCTATGGAATCCGTAGTCTCTTCGTTTTTTCATTTGCTTATGATCAGCTTCCTCTCATTTTCCGAATGATTTAATTGGCTTTAAAGTTCTGGTTCTTCAGTTCTTGGGGAAGTAGTATGTAGTATGGATTATGGAGTGCTTTTCTATGTAGTTTCTTTTGACCTCTCAAACTTTATATTAAAATCTGTTTTATTAGCATTAAAGTTTACACCCGGTTTTTGGTTTTCTATAGAAAGGAAAATTATGTAAAAGTGGAAATCAATTTGATGAAAAATCTTTTCTATAAAATTATGTTTCTGAAATGTGGAATTAAATTTCAAGGAGAGATGTTTAAAGTGTTTGGCTTGTTAAAATATTCATCAAGTCTCCCCCCATCCTAAGAAAAAAAATCTTGGAATATCTTATTTAACTTCAAACTTAGACCAAGTTTAAACAGAGAATAAAAGCGTAAACAATATATGTTTGGTAAAGGAGAAGGGCAAACTTATGTTTTCACTCTGAATTCAGATTCCAGTATGGTTTGTTGGGTAGCTTTTTTTGGGAGGGTAGGGGTCGGAAAGCAGAGTTTGAGAACTGTTGAGTAGTGGTTTGCTATGGGGCTGTATAAATGCTTGTACTGAAGTACTCCTTTTTCCCACTAAAAACTCATACTACGTAGTTTGACTTGTGTAGTTGACACTTGACACATTGTTCAATAAAGAAAATAATTGCATATCTAAAATAAAAGTAGTCAAAATACTTAAGTGACTATAATAGTAGCTTAACTCAGTAACTTATGTTCAATTTTTATACTTAAGTGACCATGAGACTATACTTAGAGTAACTTTAGTCATATATTTGTAAATAAGTCTTATGTGAGTAATACTTCTGAAAAAACTCGGGAAGAGTGAATGAGATTATATTGGGACTGAGAGAGTAATGTTTTATCTATATACTTGTACTATCTTCCATGCGGATGTATCCAACTGGATGCCTTCACATACATTGATGAACTATCTTCAGGTGTCGAGTCTTTTGATATTGACGATAAACAGCAAAAAGTGACCGTGAAAGTGAAAGATAATGTGACACCAGAAGCTGTAAAAACCACTGTTTCAAAAACTGGAAAGAAAACCGAGTTTTGGGAAGAACAGGCGTCTGCAGGACCTGATGCCAAGCCTTCTGAAGCTGATGCTTCATCTGACCAAGTGCAGCAGACTGCTTCAGAACCTGAAAAGGAAAGTTCACCTCTTACAGAGAATGGAGCTGTCGAACTGGATGCTAAGCCTTCAGAAGATGTTGCTACTACTGCCGTGGCAACTTGAAACATCTAAGACTTCCTTCTTTGCCTTTTCCTCAAAGGCTTTTCTTCTATAATTACAGTATGAAATGAACTGTATAATAATTGATGTTTAACCACCAACATTGCTTTCTAGGTTTTCTTTTTATGTGTTTGCTGTGTCACGGACTCACGATCAGAAATGTTATGGTCACTTCTCTTATTATATGTACCATATTGCCTCATTGCCTTTGTTCGTTACTTAATCTTGGCATTGAGCCCATTTTCAATGATCTATGATTTTGCTGTTGCAAAAACCTTTTAGTTATTCGCAAGGTTGTCATGGTGGCTTCTATAGATGCAGCTTTAGCAATCCGTATAGCACCTATGTGACTGACTAGTTGACCATCTCGTAGACAAGTAGCCGTGTGCAATATTTGAATCAAAAAACGTTTTTTGGAGATCACCTTAATTTGCATTCATGAAATCATTGCTCAAATAGGGAAGAATACATGACGGTCAAACATAGAATGAGCAAATCGGATCGCACAACGTTTTTCGTGGACTTTCTAACATGAGCAAACATTAGATTAGTAAAACTAGAAATCACTGATTTAACATCTTCAACCAACATCCCAAATGAAGAACAATCCTCTCCTCCTTGATGAATACTTGTAATAACCTTAAGAAAATCAGACCCAATGTCAATGTCTTCCCAACCTACTCTTTCATCTAGGCATCTCCTTTGTGGAGGAGATTGGCTTTGGCATATGTTCGGAGTAACAAAAATGAAAGCAAGTTAAATTGATTCTTAATTTAAAGTTAAAGAACAATATTTAATAGACAATTTGTTTACTAACACATTTGTTTATTTTTTCAGAAAAAAGTCTTACCAAAAAATATTTCTCCCAGAATCCACATGATGAAAGTAAGTTAGGCATGATGAGTTCTTTGCTAAGCTATTTATGTTTTCAATTAAGAGGTGCGTGACATACTGACATTTCGTATTTGCTCCTGCAAAAAATTGTTACATCACTTTGATTTCCATGGATTATGCACTGTATGCTTTAGTGTCTTATGGTTTAATAATTTTAATTTGTTATCTTCACAAACAGATTGCATTGTAATTTGTAAGGTGTACTTAAGGTGACAGTTCGTTGTTGAAGAGATGATATTGGTACCCCTGAAGACATTTTCTAGTTTGATGTTTCATGTAGATGTTGATGTTCTCTTAAATGCTCTTCTGAAAAAAATCTTTCAGTCAAACCTCATGTCGTGTTGGATTGCATTCATAACGTTGGCACAACTTTTTTGGAGTGTTAATTGAACATTGATATTATTTCATGTCCGTAATTAGTTTTTGGTAACTAAACTTAGTTTAGAAGTTATTTAATTTAGTATTTCATCATAAAGGCTGCAAAGATTTTACAAGATATCGAGCTCGATCCCACGCTTGAGTTCACTAGTTTCATTATTCGAGCCAAACGAACCGAGCTCGAGCATTGTCAAATTTAACGAGCCGAGCTCGAGCCTAACTTTTTGAGCTCGTTCGAACTCGAGCTTGAGCCACTGCAATTATTTCGACTTAGAGTTCGATCCTACCTAAGATCGAGCTCGGTTCGGCTCGTTTACACCCCTATTTGCACCAAACATGTAACATTCGTATTGTCATAATGTATGGTAAAATTATAATCCCTCCATATTTTAAAGTTTGCTAGACTTTTCTTTTTGAGATGTATTTAAGAGTTTAGTATACTTTTCTTTTTGGTAAATTTTCCCTTTAAAAATACTCGATTACCCTTAATTTTTCTATTTTTTGTCTCTTTTTCATACTTGTACATATCTCCTTCTACTTTTTCTGCACTATTCGTTACTCTACTTTCCTCATTAAGTAATACTAGTATGTCAAAGCTTAGTGTAGCATTCTTTAAAATATAGACGAGTATTTATATTATTACCATGTTAGATTTACACATTAGCTCCATCTGTTTAAGCTAATAAAATCATATATAGTGCAATATGTCACTTTTTATAGAAAACATAAATTACTTACATTATCAAACATGACACATGCATTATATACATTATGTTCCCAAGGTGAAGACTTAAGTTTGAATTTCATTTCATTACAATTAAGGAGGTTGACATTATCATTGAAAAAAATACTACAAAAAATCATAAATGTTGTCCAAAAGAATTATATTAACAAACATAATAACCTTATTTTCACTAAATATAACTTCATTTGCATCAAGCATTTTCATTGGCGCATGCTTGTCTGATTTTTTGATAGTAAAACAAGGACGTTCAGATGTCAGTCGATCCCGGTTATATCTTTAACTATCTTCCTCTTGAATATTCAATCGAGGAGTATATCCAATTCATCGAGTGTAGTTATTAACAACGAGACCGTTCATTAACAACCCTCATTACTATTAGTCAAATATAGAACACCATCATATACCGACTTAATAGTAACATTTAATCTTTTTAACACCTTGATGAAATCAATTGAGATTGATAACCTCAACACAACGCGGTCTCGGTTTAACAAACACAATTAATCCCTCTTAAGGTTATTAACCACGACCATGCATTAATAACCCGGAGTTACTTACTTGTGAAACCATTGATGTTCATTGATCATTTCTAGTAATAATTAATGTCGAATCGTTAACTAATCATAACTTAGCAACACCCCAACATTATTATTATTATTATTATTATTATTATTATTATTATTATTATTATTATTATTATTATTATTATTATTATTATTATTATTATTATTATTATTATTATTATTATTATTATTATTATTATTATTATTATTATTATTATTATTATTATTATTATTATTATTATTATTATTATTATTATTATTATTATTATTATTATTATTATTATTATTATTATTATTATTATTATTATTATTATTATTATTATTATTATTATTATTATTATTATTATTATTATTATTATTATTATTATTATTATTATTATTATTATTATTATTATTATTATTATTATTATTATTATTATTATTATTATTATTATTATTATTATTATTATTATTATTATTATTATTATTATTATTATTATTATTATTATTATTATTATTATTATTATTATTATTATTATTATTATTATTATTATTATTATTATTATTATTATTATTATTATTATTATTATTATTATTATTATTATTATTATTATTATTATTATTATTATTATTATTATTATTATTATTATTATTATTATTATTATTATTATTATTATTATTATTATTATTATTATTATTATTATTATTATTATTATTATTATTATTATTATTATTATTATTATTATTATTATTATTATTATTATTATTATTATTATTATTATTATTATTATTATTACTATTACTATTACTATTACTATTACTATTACTATTATTATTACTATTATTATTACTATTATTATTATTATTATTATTATTATTATTATTATTATTATTATTATTATTATTATTATTATTATTATTATTATTATTATTATTATTATTATTATTATTATTATTATTATTATTATTATTATTATTATTATTATTATTATTATTATTATTATTATTATTATTATTATTATTATTATTATTATTATTATTATTATTATTATTATTATTATTATTATTATTATTATTATTATTATTATTATTATTATTATTATTATTATTATTATTATTATTATTATTATTATTATTATTATTATTATTATTATTATTATTATTATTATTATTATTATTATTATTATTATTATTATTATTATTATTATTATTATTATTATTATTATTATTATTATTATTATTATTTTTTTTTTTTTTTTTTTCATTTTTGGGTTTACCCGGGTTGGGCTTGATGGTTAGGAGGGGTTTGGGGGGGTGGGGGGTAAGGGGGGGGGGGGGGGGGTTGGAAAGCAAAAAAAAAAAAAATTGACCAAACCGGAGGCCCGGCCCGGACCCGGTCCGGACCCGGTGGCTACCCGGGCCGGTCCCGGGCCTTCCTTCCCAAAAAAAAAAGCCCGGCCGGGCCCGGCCCGGAACCGGAACTGGCCCGGCCCGGGTCCATGACTACTTAACGAATCATATACGAATATCGAATCGATTTGAGCATAGGTTGAATATTAGTCAAATGTCACTTTAAAATACTCCCTCCGTCCCAATATAAAAGGCACATTTGCGTTTGGGGAGTTTTTAAGGGTGAACACTGTTTGAACACTGTTTGACACTGTTTAGACACTGTTTGGTACTGTTTGGCACCGTTTGACACTGTTTTGCACTGTTTTGTTTGACAAAAAGGGAAATGTGCCTTTTATATTGAGACGGACCGAAAAGGAAAGTGTGCCTTTTATATTGGGACGGAGGGAGTAACTTTTCTTATACAGTTATACTCCATACTTTTTTATATTGTAAATGCATGCTATGACTTAATATGTGTTTTTAGAATTTAAATTTAATGGATCAATGCATTTTTAGATTTTGCACAATATACTAAAGTGAATTAATTTATGATTAATAAATATAAATCTATTTCAAACTTTTTGAAATAAACACTAACACACACGTATTAGAAATTATATTTATAATGTGTGAAATAAGTTGATAATTATATATATCAAAGTCAAACAACTCTAATATTATTCTTCAAATCGAATACATAATTATTTGTATTGTATTTGAAAGACATTTGAACAAAAAAATTGATTTGTATTCGTATTTATATTCTGTTTTATTACAAATGAGCTTGGAATCTGTATGCAAATATGTACATATGAGCTACGCTTTGAGGGTATTGCTCTCTTTTAAAAGTTTTTGTGGTGTTATTACTATTATTATTAATATTGATATTAATATTACTATTATTATTAATCGAATATATTTGATTAATATTCGAATCGAATACACTGATATTCTTATTTGTATTTTATAACAACTCGAATCAAAATTAATATTCTTATGGCAAAATTGATAGTAATTATCCCAACTATTGGCGGTCCGCCCATAATAATCCCAACTATCGATTATTTCAGAATAATCCCAACTTTAGAGACCTTCCGCCAATAATGGTCCATATAAATAAATTCATGTAGTTTCTAAAGTGGATGAGAAAAGATAGAGTAAGTAATGTCTATAAATAATCTCGACTTTTAATTTTTATGCTTAATTGCTATTTAAACTTCACTTGTTTTAGCAGGTAATATTTGGTCATGGACCATTATTGGCGGATGGTTCATATAGTTGGGATTATACAAAAATAATAAATAATTGAAATTATTGTTAGCTGACAGTCAATTCTAAGGCTAACCGCAACCCAGCCCGTCAATAAATCTAATCTCACACCACTTTATACGTATTCACTCAGTCAATTCAGTTTTTCTCTGCAACCCAGCACCGTCAATATATCCACTCAGCACATTTTTTTAAGTAAATGCATATATAAATCCTTACTTTTTTCTATTACACATCACTAATGTGATAATTTTATTTTCACCAATAATTATTATTTAAAAAGTCAAACATTCCGATGTAAAAAAATAAAAAAAATGGGAATTAATTTTTTTGTAAGTATAAAAAAATGCCTACTTGAGTTTAATTTGAAATAAATTTAAAACTATTGAATATATTATTGCTTTATTATTAATTTATCATTTCATATACTATTACTAGGTGAATATAAATTAATTGATTAATAACATTGATATATCATTAATTTTAGAAATTATATATGCTTAAGAAAAAAATTTGGCCTGAAAATTTCTCCATCAGATAAAACTTCATATTTTTTATAACACTTTATATATGACATATTGATGTCATATGAAAGGTCATAAAAAATTATGAATTTTGATATATTTTTTATAAAAATTGAATTTCAAATAAAAAAGTTACACCATTTTTAACAAAATTGGGATTTTAATTTAATGTGGACCCTCACATTTTCCTCACCTTGCGGCTTCCTTCCTTCCTCTCTCTTGGGTCAATCCACCGTCTATATTCCCCTCCCAATAGGTTCTCCCAATCCACAATGGCTCCCCACTCTAGTTTTTTTTGTTTGGGTTGCACCATTTTTGGAGTCAAAACTTCACATATGAGTTTTTCACCCCTTGCATTGCGGGTAGCGTAATAGTCCCATTCGAATCCCGAATTTGATTCTTGGCAAGAGTCCGACAAAAAGAACTGAACGGCGGCAAAAACACGCCACTCCAATTTCCTCTGCGGCTGCTAAAGACAAGGATCCTTCATTTGTCGGCGCCCTATTTGCCTTTCCAAATGCTTTTTCATCTGTTCAAAGTCCACCCGCAGATCATGCATTCAGTAACCTGCCTTTTGACCGTCCCTCTTACCAGAATGGAGCTGCACGGCATTGAAGCAATTTGCTTGCAATGCCCTCTTGGGTCTCTTCCCTTTTTATCAACCAATAGGTGGAAAGCTGAAAACCACCAAGTCCAACAATCTCTTGTCATTGTAAAATCATTCGGATCACTGACTTACAATATTTAGCTTATACCGGCACTTAAGATGCTCTTTCGGAACTCAGAGGATTGCTTGGATAGTGTTTGAGAATATGATTCACTGAACTTTAACATCCTTTTCTGGGATAGAAGGCGTAGAACATAAGAATAAACAATCAAAGGGTAATTATTTTCTACCTGCTACAAGGGAGTGAAGATGGATGCAGCTCTGGCTATGGATGATATGGCAATGAGGAACCGCAGTAGAAGGAACTCGACTTCTGTAAGTCTTATGGAGATGTTTGCTGCATCAGGAAGAGATGTATTCCAGAGAATTGATGAGGAGAATGATAGTGAGGAAGACTTGAGGTTGGCTGCTATTGAGAGACTTCCTACATATGATCGATTGAGGAAAGGGATCCTGAAGCGAACACTGGATGATGGAAGAGTTGTGCATCAAGAAGTTGATGTTCAAAATCTTGGGATGCATGACAAGAAGCTACTCTTGGAACGTATTTTGAAAGTTGTGGAAGAGGACAACGAGAGGTTCCTTCGAAGACTCAGAGATAGGATTGATAGGTGAGGCAAAAAAAATCAATATTCCATTCTTTCCCTGTATACACTACACTATCTAATAATTGGCTTAAATCATGATAATAATTGTTTTTTCATGAATAGGGTAGGAATTGATATTCCGAAAATCGAAGTGCGATATCAGGATCTATCCATTGAAGGAGATGCATATGCTGGATCTCGGGCATTGCCTACTTTGTTTAATGCCACCATAAATGTGATAGAGGTTCTCCATTTATTTCAATGTAAATCCTGTTATGCTGGATTTACTTTTTCTAATTATTATATCTTGGTGGAGCTTCTAATTTTTCTAAATGGTAGAACCTGTTCTCATTATTTTCAGAGTTTTCTACAAAAGATAAGAGTTTTTCCATCCAAGAAAAGAGTAATCAAGATACTCTACGATGTGAATGGAATTATAAAACCTTCAAGGTATGTTCATAGAAAGCATTTGGCTAATGTGCGTTACTTTTATGCATATGTTTCTACTCATGTGGATAACTCTCTATGTGGTCCATATGGTAAACATATCTCCTTTTCACTCTACAGGATGACACTACTTCTTGGGCCTCCCGGATCTGGAAGAACAACATTCTTGAAAGCACTAGCTGGAGCATTGGACAAGGATCTCAGGGTACCAACCATCTTTATGAATTTTGGCATGAAATACTACTCTCATGTTTTTAAGGCACTAGTTCTTGATTTTTAATTTTTCTAAGGTTGAGGGTAAGATCACTTATTGCGGTCATGAGATGTCAGAAATAATTCCTCAACGTACCTGTGCTTATATCAGCCAGCACGACCTCCACCATGGAGAGATGACAGTGAGAGAGACATTCGACTTTGCCGTACGTGCTTTAGGTGTTGGAACTAGATACAAACTTCTCACAGAATTGTCCAGACGAGAAACTGATGCGGGAATTAAGCCTGATCCCGAGATAGATGCATTTATGAAAGCCACTGCTATAGCAGGCCAAGGATCCAGTTTGGTCACAGACTACGTGCTCAAGGTATATTTCCAGTTACACACTAATACTCTATGATTAGAAAATGAAGAATTTTTGTTAAACTGTTGAAGTTATTTATAGATACTTGGTTTGGAGTTATGTGCTGATATAGTGGTGGGTAATGAGATGATGAGGGGCATATCAGGGGGACAGAAGAAACGTGTTACCACAGGTGTGTTGCATGTGTAAATTTAGGTTACTGGATTAGCATTCAAGCTTTCTTTACTTCACAGCTTCCTAACCTTTTGACTAGTCTACACTATTCCCATTTAACTGCCAGTAGATTGATGTGTTGATCTTTTTATCATGTCAATGCACAGGAGAAATGCTGGTTGGTCCTGCAAAAGTTTTTTTCATGGATGAAATATCTACAGGTCTTGACAGCTCCACCACATTCCAAATTGTGAAATACATGAGGCAAATGGTCCATATAATGGATGTGACGATGATAATATCGCTTCTTCAACCCGCACCAGAAACATTTGAGCTTTTTGATGACATCATTTTGCTTTCAGAGGGACAAATAGTCTACCATGGTCCACGAGATAATGTTATAGACTTTTTTGAGTGTGTGGGATTTAAATGTCCAGAAAGGAAAGGAGTTGCTGACTTTCTACAAGAAGTAACATCTCTCAAGGACCAAGAACAGTATTGGTTTAGAAAAAATGAACCTTATCAATATATTTCAGTCACTGAATTTGCAGACCTATTTAGAAACTTTCATGTTGGGCACAAACTATATGATGAGCTCTCAGTTCCTTATGACAAGAGTAGAACCCATCCTGCAGCACTAGAAACTAAGAATTATGGTATTTCCAATATGGAACTCTTCAAGGCATGCTTATCTAGGGAATGGCTGCTGATGAAACGCAACTCTCTCCTGTACATATTCAAGACATTCCAGATTACTATAATGTCAATAATTGCTTTTACAGTGTTCTTTAGGAGCAAGATGAAATCTGGGACGGTTGGAAATGGAGGAAAGTTTTATGGAGCTCTGTTTTTTAGTCTCCTCAACGTGATGTTTAATGGTACAGCAGAGCTTGCACTGACCATGTTCAGGCTTCCTGTTTTCTTCAAACAGAGGGATTCTTTATTTTTCCCTGCTTGGGCTTTTGCACTCCCAATTTGGCTAATGAGAATGCCCCTCTCATTTATGGAATCATTCATATGGGTTATTCTTACTTACTACACCATTGGCTTTGCTCCTGCTGCTAGTAGGTATGCATTTAATACTAAAGATAAACCAAACGCTTTCATGCTCAGACAGTTTCATTTCCTTTTAAAACTTCAGTATATTCATCGGGAGAACTACCAAATAAGCCCTCGAACTTACAAACAAAGTGCAAATCACCCCTTATATAAGAGGCTTTGTCCGGCCGTCGCCATTTGGGGCGGTTCCCGGTGGAATTTTTTGATGATTTTTTTTGAGCATCTTATTCATTAAGTATAGTTTACTCATACCAAATTTCAGCTAAACATTCAATCGGGAAGGCAGTCAAATGAATTTTTGAAGATAACTGCGCAGTTAAACACCGCAGTATATTTCAGAAAATCATTTGACTGCCTTCCCGGTTGAATTTTTAGCTGAAATCTGGTATGAGTAAACTAGACTTAATGAATAAGATGTTCAAAACATTTCATCAAAAAATTCCACCGGGAACTGCCCCAAATGGCGACGGCCGGACAGAGACTCCTATATAAGGGGTGATTTGCACTTTTTTTTGTAAGTTCGAGGGCTTATTTGGTAGTTCTCCCTATATTCATCTGATCGAGGCACATATAATATTAACTAATTAATTAATTAGAATAACTTATTTCATGTGCTCAACCCTGCTTACCTTCTCTTGTCCAACACTGTGGGCTAGGTCTCCACCACACTGTTAAAATCATCATGATCTGATAAACTATAGACCAAAGTAACATATCTCAATTAGCTAATGACTGTATAGGGACATCCAAAAATAGTCTCTCTGTCCCATAAAACTTTATCAAATTTCTTTTTTGGCCATCCCAAAAAACTGTCATTTCCATTTGAAGTATTAAATATAAGGCTAAAGTTTCTCTCTCCTCTGCACATATCTCAAGCATACAATTTTGATTTTATCATGCTACGTGCAAGTCAACTTTGGCCAAGTTTTATTGGATGGAGGGAGTATTATACTGGTGCACTTTGCATTTATTCAGGGTATTTCGCCAATTCCTGGCCTTCTTCTCCTTACATCAGATGGCTTTGTCCCTTTTCCGTCTTATGGTGGCACTTGGAAGAATAGAAGTGGTAGCAACCACTTTGGTTACTTTCACTTTGCTGGTAGTATTTGTGCTTGGTGGTTTCATTGTTGCTAAAGGTTAGTAACATTTTGCCCTCATACATTATTTTCATGTTTGAGTGCATATTCTCTCAGCTCTTGTTTTAGATAATATCTCAATTACAAGATTTCTTTTTCCAAAATAATAAGCATCTCTACCCTGGATGTAGATGACCTGGAACCATGGATGAAGTGGGGATATTACATGTCTCCTATGTCTTATGGCCAGAACGCGATAGCTATCAATGAATTTCTTGATAAAAGATGGAGCTCTGTAAGGTTTTATAGTAGTTTGTGAAAATTAGTTATTCTTCTCACTTCAGAACCGATTTTTCCATCATTTATCACTTTAACATGCGCTATTCTTGTGGTTTTTTTCAGCCCATTAATGATTCAAGGTTCCGTGAGCATACGGTAGGCAAGCTGCTTCTTAAGTCAAGGGGAATGTATTTAGATGACTACATGTATTGGATATGCATCATCGCCCTCTTAGGCTTCTCAGTTCTCTTCAATGTTTGCTTTGTCATTGCACTAACATACTTAAACCGTATGATACTATATCTTTTTCTTATTTGGCAGTACCACCATTCTAAAAATGAGTAATGTTTCACCAAGATACATTTTTTTAGGAAGTTGTAACGCTTAAAAGTGATTAGACTTATATTTTTAAATTTATTTGTTGGTTTAACAAGATTTATAATAATCATTTTTTTTATAAAATATGGAGGAATAACTAAAATTACCCTTTTTGGAATAGGAGTAAACAAACTGATTTAGATGTTTTCTTCTCAAACACAGCTATTCGAGGCTCCAAATCTATTATTTTGGATGAGGAAGACAATAATATTAAGACGAAAGGCCAATCAAACCCCTTTGGTGAAGCAGCAGCATACCAGGCTTCAGCATCTACACCTCCAACCTCTGAAGGTGGGGGACATCAAGTCCTATAAGTGTTATACCATTTTTCAATGGTCAAAGATCCTTTGGTATTCTAGAGAGATACATGCTAAAGTTTTAGAATTGTTGCCTTAACTATTAGTGCATAATCATCTCTTCAATGTCCTATTTTTAATGATTGCAGTAAGGCATTCTGAACAAAGCTCTAGCGTGGAACAAAATGCAGTGAAGATGAAGGGGATGGTGCTTCCTTTCCAACCGCTGTCTCTTGCATTCAACCATATCAATTACTATGTTGATATGCCAGCTGTAAGTATAGTTCTCAGAATGCAATTTCAGATTTTTGCCACTATATATTCAACATTGGCTTGACTTTTGAATTTAGACTTATGGTATATTCATCAGGAAATGCAAAAACAAGGAATCCAAGAGAGACGACTCCAATTGTTGAGAGATGTTAGTGGATCTTTCAGGCCAGGAGTTCTAACAGCATTGGTTGGTGTGAGTGGAGCTGGGAAGACTACTTTGATGGATGTCTTAGCAGGAAGAAAAACAGGTGGATATATCGAGGGATACATCAGCATTTCTGGTTTCCCCAAGAATCAATCAACTTTTGCTCGAATAAGCGGTTATTGTGAACAGAATGATATCCATTCTCCACATGTTACCGTATATGAATCTCTTATATATTCTTCCTGGTTGCGTCTTTCTCCAGATGTGAATAAGCAAAAAAGAAAGGTACTGCCCAAGTTGTCAATGTCTCAATGCAACTGTGCTTGTAGTTTACCATTTAGACACCCCTGAAGTAATGATCTTCATGTTTTCGCACAAAAGACTAGTTTTTCTCTCTTGGATTTCGTGCTAGTTTAAAGTAACCCTGTCTGCATATTTGCGCTTGGGGTGCCAGCTCAGCTCAATGGTGAGCAACTACCAATGCCGTTGGGGAGTTATGCTGAGATAGTACACAGAACATTCTTCGCCAAATTGTAAATATCTAAGTCATTCTGAGGTTTTCCCATTGACGGACGATCTAATGCTATTCCAATTCGCAAGCTGCTGTATTTTTCTTATATGAACCTGTTGTTTTGATAGAGAGAAAGCAGGGGCGGCCGAAGTGCAGGCAGGGGAAGCCGAGGCAGACCCAAGTCCCAGGCCCTTGTTGATCTACCGTAGGCGGGGATGGGCTTGAGCCCACCGTCCATGGGCTGGCTTAGTTATTTTAATTAATTCCTTTAGTTATTTCCTTTTCCATCATTTGCAATGGAGCCAAAGATGCATTATTTTTTGGCTTGAGAATATGATGGAATAAAGCAAAATGACTCACTAAACTGTCTGTGCTTCTTTGTTATGAAGCAGCAGTTAGTCCATGCAATTTTGGACGCGATTTTCACTATGGGTCATCCGGAAACAGTCTCTCTGTGCTTTAGTACGGGGTAAGACTGCGTACATCCGACCCCCCCTTACCCCACCGTAGGTGGGACCGTGGGAGCCTTTGCGGCACTGGGGTAAATGAAAATGATGAAAATGATGATGAGTTATTTCCTTTTATTATGTTTCTCATTTTAATTATGCGTCCTATTATGTTTTAATTAGGACTTCTATTCTTATTAGAATTAGAGGTTTCCTATTTCTACTTAGTTTCCTAGAATGGTTTAATTAGGACTTCTATTCTTATTAGAATTAGAGGTTTCCTATTCTATTTAGTTTCCTAGTATGGTTTGATTAGGATTCCTATTCTTATTAAGACTTAGAGGGTTATTTAAATCCGTAAGGACGGCTATTGTAATCATCAATTAATAATATTGGAGTTTTAGCTTTAAGCTTGGGCAACGGTTGCTAACCGTTGATTATTTTATTTTCTGCTCTCATCAATTGGTCCGATCTGCCGGATCCCGTCCCGCCGGAATGAAGAGATCTCAGAACGATCGCTTGACAGAGATGGATGCCGAGCAAGCCCGGATGGGGCGCGAGCAAACCTTAATCAATCAGATACCCGATGCGCAAAGACAGTAGTTGGAAGAGCTTGGCGCCTAGCTCGCAGAGACCGCAACCTCTCTTGCTGAGATCGCGAAGGCCATGGTACCGCCGGAGAAGATGCCAACATCAGCCAGTGACAACGTCTCTTCCGCGCACGCCGTATCTGCACACTCAATCGACGGAGGATTGCTCAACACGACAACTGCCCTGCTTCCCTCGTTCGACAGTGAAGACCCGATTGGGTTGTTGGCTAGGGTTGAGCAACGGTTTGAACTCAACGGAACCCTACCGGACAGAAAATTGGTAGCGGCTGTGGTTTCCATGGAAGGGGCTGCCCTCTATTGGGTAACCTGGCTAAGAGCACGCAAACCCGGAATGACTTGAGAGGAATTTGGGCAAGCTTTGGTGGCCAGATTCGACTCCCGATTTAAGGGGAACAAGTTTGAACGGCTGTCTAGCGCCAAACAGATTGGATCGGTGGAAGACTATGATAGAGACTTTACTAAATAAGTTTTTTTTTACTAAGGTCTATTATAGAAGGAGGAGGGTTGGTTATTAGTTAGTTTGTTATAAAACGAATAACTACCGGCAGCTAGAACATCCTACTATAAATAATAGTATTTGAGATTGTAATAGGGGGAATTTGAATTGTAAACTGTACGCAGTCTGTTGCTTTAGGCCTTCGGCCATTGTTGCCTTTGAGAATAAAAGTTGCCTTTGAGATATATCTTGAACCAATTCTGTGATATGTAAGACTAGAGTTGGAGTTTTCTAACATTGGTATCAGAGCGGTTACTCGTCTTTAATGGTTTGGACGCGAGGAAAAATGGAAGCGAGAATAGAAGAACTGGAGAAAGACCGTCAAGAAACGAAGGAGTTGTTGGCTACGATTCTAGCAAGGCTGGACGCGAGCAAAAGTCGATCGAGGAGTAGATCGCACGCATCAACTTCATCGCGTCATTCTTCGCATCGCACATTGCATCCATCATCGCGACCTTCATCGCATCATTCAACGCGACCTTCAGCGCATCATCACTCGACGCGATCGATGGACAGTTCTGATAGCTCAGATAGTCACCAGGAGTATGTTGTGGACTCTTTTTGGGGTCACACTTATAAACGATGCATAAATGGTCCAAGGGCCCGAGAGTCTACATCTGGAAGTGGCTGAAGTTGGGAATAGGATATAGTTTCCTAATTCTAGTTGGTTTCCTAATTATAGTTGGTTTCCTAATTATAGTTTATTTCCTTATTCTAGTTACTTAATATGGCTGAACTGGGAAACAAGGATACTGTTTCCTAATTCTATTTTTAAGTCCTGATTCTAGTCTTGTTTCTAATTATTGTTTCTTTCCTATTTAGAACTCTAAGCAGCCTCTCTATATAAAGGGGTTTTTGCTATGGAATAAAGGACGTTTTTGGAGAATTAATTTGTGCGTCTTGACAAGGTCGGGCGCCGATTAGTTTAACAAGAATAGCTTCATTAAACTATGCTGATTATTTTTCTCGTTCCCGATTAATATCTCGAACGCATCCCTGGACTAGGGCTAGCTCTCGCCTCCTTAACAATTTGGTATCAGATTTGGGCACGATGGGCAACGCACCGGTGACAACTGAAGCATTGAAGGCCTTATTACAAGGCGTCGATCAACGTCAAATTGACGTTGAAGAACAATTGGCCGATATCAAGAACACCGTAACCAACTTGGCAGGAATTCCAGCAGCGTTTGCTGAGATGAGCAAAACTGTGACCAGCCTGTCAAACACTCTCAACCAATTGTTGCAGGATCCTCCATCATCCAGTCCACATGCTGGGCGGCCACGGCATACTGATAACCACCAACGCGACTCAGACGATGGGATGGTTCCACGCTACTCCAAGTTGGAGTTTCCCCAGTACGATGGATCCAGTGATCCATTAGCGTGGCTGAAGCGGTGCGAGCGGTTCTTCGTGCAGCAGCGCATCCAACCGCAAGCACAAGTAGGGTTGGCTACTTTTCACATGACTGGTAATGCCCAACTTTGGGCAGATCAGTTAGATCCAGCGGGAACAAGCCTTAACTGGACGGAGTTCTATATCCGTTGTTCAAAACGATTTGGGCCCCCAAGCAGCCACAACCCGGAGGGTGATCTGGTGAATTTAAAGCAAACGTCTGACTTAGAGTCTTATATTACTAAGTTTCAGCAGTTGCTAGCCCGAACAGCTGGAGTGTCGACCCGCATGCAAATCAAAATTTTTATGGCTGGACTTCGCGAGGCAGTACGCGTGGAGGTCGAATACCAGGAACCCGTTGATCTTGACACAACCATGATGCTCGCCAGAAGCAGCGAGCGCAAATTCATCGCAGCTGCGACTTTAACAAACAACAGTACATATGGATCCGGTAGGTCCAGTACTCAAATTCCTCACTCCGTTATCCCTGAGCCGACACCAGTAAAGAAAAATTACAACCCTACGTTTAAAAAATTAACTCGGGCTGAAGCTGCTGCACGACAAGAAAAAGGATTATGCTACAACTGTGATGAAAAGTGGATCCGTGGCCACCGATGCAAACGATTATTTTTCGTCGAAATTGTGGATGACGACTTTGAAGAGGCCCCTGAAACCCAGAGTGAGCCTTCCTTGTCAATCAACGCAATGACTGGGTTCGGGTCACATTCCACCATGCAACTAGCCGCAACCTTGTTTGGACAGTCCCTGAAGGTTTTGGTCGACTCAGGAAGTACTCACAATTTTATCCACCAACGTTGGGTCCCCATGAACACCCTGCAGCAGCACTCGGGCACCCGCCTACAAGTTTTGGTGGCTAATGGAGACCGAGTACCCATCATTGGTACATGTTCGCGACTTCCGTTCACTGTTAATCAAGATAAGTTTCATGCAGATTTTTATGTACTGCCGTTATCCGGTTTTGATATGATTTTGGGCATCCAATGGCTTTGTGGGCTTGGCTCCATACAATGGGACTTCTCAAAACTCTCCATGCAGTTTACTTGGAATGGCAAACCAGTGACATGGAAGGGTCGTGGGGCCGATGTTTCAACTGTCTCTCACATGGCAATCTGCCAGGACAGTTCTAAACCCTCTCTCAATGAGCTTCTATTGCATTTTGAGGATCTTTTTCACAACCCCTCTGGCCTCCCACCCCAGCGTGCATGTGATCACCGCATTACCTTACTCCCAGGCACGGGTCCAGTTGTGGTACGTCCGTACCGCTACCCTTATTTCCAGAAAGATGAAATTGAAAAACAATGTGCTGAAATGTTGACGCAGGGGATTATTCAACCAAGCCGATCTCCATTCTCCTCTCCGGTACTTCTCGTACGTAAACCAGACAAGTCCTGGCGTTTTTGCGTTGATTACAGAGAGTTAAACTCCAAGACTGTTAAAGATAAGTTCCCCATTCCGGTAATTGATGAGCTATTGGATGAGCTTCACGGAGCAACTTACTTCACGAAACTTGACCTACGCTCGGGATATCACCAGATCCGCATGGCCCTCGAGGATGTGGAGAAAACAGCTTTTCGAACACATCATGGACATTTTGAGTTCCTCGTCATGCCATTTGGTCTTACTAACGCACCATCCACGTTTCAGAGCTTAATGAATGATATATTTGGGCCGTATCTCCGAAAGTTTGTCTTGGTCTTCTTTGACGATATCCTCATTTATAGCAAGACATGGTTGGAGCATATGTATCACATCCGCCTCGTCCTAGAACTGTTACGATCACATGGTCTCTTCTTAAAGCAGTCCAAGT